TTTTTTTTTTTTTTTTTGATGCAAAGGTGTGAGCAAGATTAGATTTTTTTTTTTTTTCCTGAGCCACTAGTAGTGAAGAATGAAATCCTTCTGTCTATCCATTTTCATTTTCTTGACTGGACTCATTCTGTTAAAACTGAGATTAGGAGGGAAAATATAACTAAATTATTTCTTTTGCTTTTTCCCTGGCTTCCAGGCAGTCTGCTTCTTTATTTTACAACCTTTATATCCATCTTTATTGGTTTAAAAAGTAGTCAAAAACAACTAACTATATCACTATTAAAATATTTTTCTGTTTATAAAACTTATGCAGCATTAATTAGAAGATGGCTCTTCAGATATTCTAATCTAAATATAAAGTGCTTAAAGAGAAATCACCAGTACTTTGATTTGCACTTAGAAACAAACTGGAAACTGGTACATCCATTCACTACAGGACCAAATTAGTCTCTTCAGTTAATAGCCTAGATGTCATATTCTACTCGGTTGAAGTTCCTAGATGCTTCTTAAAGATAGCCAGCTATGATAGTAGATAGTATAACTAAAGTACTAAGGCATATATTTATCAATGTTTGTAGTGTTTTTTACTAGTGTGTTTGTATGTGAAAGGGTAGACTCGAACAACAGGTGGAGTTTGTGGCCGAGAGGGCTTTCACACAGTTACATCTCCTGCCACTTGTGGCCATTTCTTGAATCAGCTTTTTTCTCACGTTTTTCATGCCCTTGTTATTTTGCAGCTAGACTACATGTATTACAATTCAGTCTACATGGTGCTTTGCTTGAAAACCATTTGAAAGCTTCAGCTGGTTTTTATGTAGCACCCCACGTAGTTGTGGGAATACCTAGGTTCACCCACATAATACCACTACTGCAGGAACTGCATTGGCTTGTATTTAGCTTCTGGGTGCAGTTCAAGGTACTAGTTATCACCTTTAAAGGTCTACATGACTCAGGGCCTAGATATCTCATAGACTGCCTTCTCTGAGTTCAGTATGCCCACCCAGTGAGATTTAGTAGAAGGGTTTGCTGAAAGTCCTACCTCTGAGGGAATACTGTCTACAGGGATGTCCCACCCTACCACCTCTGGAACATCCCACCCCCAGGCAATCAGACAACCTTTCTATTCTATTCTATTCCTATTCTATTTTCAAATGGTTCTTCAGAGAAGCATTTGGGGATGCTTGAAGATTCTATTGCCCAAATGATTACACATCAGGGCCTTCTTGTTATGTTTATGTTACTGACGTTTTTGTAATTTATAGGACAAAATAATAGTAGCATATAAGCCAAAATAATTAATTTGTATATTAAGTAGCAAATACATAATATATTATATATTAACTAATTAATATGTTATAAATGAATGAATGACAGCTTCATTTATAGAGAGTCACAAATTGAATTGATAAACGAAACTGATAATCATGGCCAGCTTTTCTGTTTCTAGGAATGGAGATAGTTGGTACAGAAAATTAAGGTGAAAAAAGTATTCCTGATTACAGCTGATATTTGTGATTCAAGATTCTCCATTGTGAATCTATGTTTTTAAAATGAATAAAAATCTGTTCAACACAGATCAAATGTTTGTTTATGAATCACAAATTCTGTTGATTTGTCTTACCAGTACAGAGTTGGTCTTCTTTCTTAATCCATAGCCAGCTAATGACTTCCTTTAAGGCAGCCATTCAGAACCTCAGTGAGTTTTAGAGATTGACATGAAGGGAGGAGAGAAAACTGAGCATTGTCTACATATATAAGTCATGTAAGTCCTTAAAATTAAATTAAATTAAATTAAATTAAAATTAGAAACCCCAGACTTCCTCAAACTAAATCCCTCAGTGGTTTCATGTAGATAGCATATGAGTACTATGTCCTCAAATTCTGCCCCTAACAGACATCTCAGAAACTGTCAATAATATTGGAAGTTGCATAAGGTCCAACTAAAGGACTTCAAGCTTTTTTGAGAGGGGTGGGAATCTGGAAAGCAGGTCACTGCAGAATACAGTAGGTATCTTCATGAAAAAGCACCAAAAACTGGCATCAAAACCCAGTGTTGGTGAATTTAGGGGGACTTCAGAAGCTTCCAAAATAGAGTGGAAAGCCATCTGGGAGAAGCAGCTTGGCCATCCCTGCTTGAATGCCACTTAAAGGCATGCCTATCTATACTTCCTGAGTGGGTATGTATTCAGTAATATGATAGGGTATCACGCTCTGGCTCTCAGCATATCCTCATGCAATTTTGTCCTAATTATTATGCTAGCTGTCACTCTCTTTCAGTCTCAGGTTGGTATAACTGGGATCTTGCTAAGATTCTGAAAGTGCCTTCAGTACTACATATTTTTAAAAATAATTAAGAAATTAATTTACAGAATTCATATTTTTTAAAAAATTGTATTATAAATTCAGGAAAAAAATAGTTCCTAGGCTATGAGGTCCTTAAGCCATAAAATACATACACATTTTTAAAATCCTTTTGCTACAATAAACCCAGATATGATTTGCCACTAGTATTCTGAAAGCTTTAAGGCAGAGAGACATAATTCCCATCAGCTGAAGAGCTTTATCAGACTTCAAGCTACATCTCAAAGACTGTACTTCAAAAGTGGGCAATGCTAGCATTCATTCTGGGGAGAGGTTTGGTGGTGAGGAAGTTAAAGCATGAAATGGCAGCAACTGTTTTACCCCTTATCCCAATTCAGAAAAAAAAAGTACAAAGGGGGGACTAAATATGGAAGGTGAACCAAGTCTGGGGATAGTGTAGGGGCACGAGAGAAACACTTATGGACTTTATTGAGTGCCCAGACTTCACTTTTTGCACTCCGGCTTTAAATGAACATTTGATTCGGAACATTTGATTTTCTAGTTTGGAAACAAACTGGGTGTTGTACTTGCAAAAGAAGATTGGGAGTGTCAGAAATAAAAACGTTGATTACATTGTAGACAAGGTCTTAAACCTGGATTTTTACTTGTAATACGCTGTTGCTCATAACATTTTCAGTCTTGAGCCATAATGTCATAAAGCTGCCATTTTTTATGTTAGGGCTAGGCACTGTGTGATTCTCCAGATGTTGCTAAACTCTAGTTAACCCTAGGTTTTGGTGGTATATAAATTAAATTAATACATGATTATGGTTTATGAGAGTTGCTCTGTTGGAACATCTGGATTTATATGGTAAAGATGCATTATTTTAATATATAATTTCAACAATTTATCAAGGATTTGTAAATAGCTTCCAGTTTCTGCAAGTCCCAGTTAAAGCAAATGAATTCATGCCAAGTGTTTCATCAAGATGAGCTGAGTTTCCTTAGATGGATTTATTTTTCTACTGGATTTTTGTGTATTCACACTTATAGAAATTACATTATATGGCCCAACTGAATATATGAATTGTATGTAATCTTATATAAAGATTTTCATTGCCCCCAAGAAGCTCCAGCCAAAGGAAAATTTCATATATACATGAAATATATATGATGCTTTAAATTATAAATTCAAAATGGAAAATATTTAAAAGCTATGGTTTGCTATGAACACCAAAACATTTTCTGCATGTAGACATTCACTTGTAAATTCTGCATATTATGGGATGGAAATGAGGCATATACCCAATTGTAACCTTTTGACAGACAACCAAATTTTGTCCTCATTTCCATTATTTAATAATGCATTTCAAGCAATAGGATGGAATGTTTGTCCACTGGTAAATCTTTTAGTAAGAAACTCTGTCATCAAGCCAGAACCGGATTGATAGGAGAAATAAAGAGAATGCAAACAAAATGAAATCAGACAAAAGTATATTTTTAAAGCACTTGTTGGAAAGCAGCAGCAGAGCTCCTTCTATTTCATGGTGCCAAATAAAGCAGGTGAATAATGTGAATGACTGTAGATTTCCAGAAGAGGTAAAAATAGGTTGTTTTATTTCAAGTGTGTATAAAATGTAAGAAATTATATGCTACAGTTTGTTGAAACATGTTGGCTGATGATAAATGCAAATAATTTAAAAATATTTCTTCAGAACTTGCCAACTTGAACCAGCATAATGTCAACACTTATCAGAAATGAGATTGAAGTTTTGAATAGCCTAGAGATTCAGAGACACTATCACTAGCTTGTTAAAATTTTGAGAGCCAGTATTAAAATGCATCCATTTCTAGATATTTACTATAGTTAATTGTTAAAGTAACTGTAAATTCATTCAGAAGTGCTTGAAGGCCAGAATACTTTTGTGTTCATTTTTTTTTCTTTTTTTAAATAGGTGCTTTTCCAGAAACAATTTTGTATGCTCGAAAAGACAAGCTTTCAAGACCAGCACATATAGCTACCAAAACTTTTCAAGCCTTGCGCATATTTGTCAACAATGAGCTACATGAACTCTATGAAGGTTTAAAGGCAGCTGAACATTTTCTAAAACCTGGGGGAAGACTTGTAGCAATTACTTTCCATTCTTTAGAAGATCGTATTGTCAAACGATTTCTGCATGGGATAGATATTTCAGAAAAGTTCAACCTCAGTGTAAACCAGAAGATCAAGAGAGCAAGAAAGGATTTGTTAGAAGAGGAGGAGGAATTGCTCACTATAAATTGTGGTTCAAAATGGAAACCTATAGAGAGGAAAGTACTTACTCCCCAGGCTACTGAAATTAAAAAGAATCCCAGAGGACGCTCAGCAAAGCTAAGAGGAGCTATCAAGTTATGAACTTATTTTTTACATTTTTTTCATACAATGTATTTATGATCCTTTACATTAAAGATGAAAACACAGACATGTCTTCTTTGCTTTTTGTTGCTCTTGTATAGCACACATCTTTCTAACTAAAGAGGAAATACGAAGGTTGCTAAACTACAGCTCTCAGCAGCTCCAGACAGTGAGGATAATTGGCCAGGATGCTCACAGTTATAATTCTGCCATATTTGAACGGCGACACATTCCCCATCCTTGCTACCTCATTCACTTTTTTTTAGTGTTACATTGGAAACAACTTTTTAACAAAGGTAGAACAACTGTGATTTTCCCTGTAGGCATGTAGATTTGACAGCTATTGAAGACTATTTATTTATTGTATGGGATTTAGAGGCTGCCCAACTCCCAAATGACTCTGGGCAGCTTACATCTCAAAAGTAAGAAACAATAAAATGAAGGGGAAAAGATACATATGTCCAGGAGAAAACTACCCAACACACCAGGGGACAAAAAATTAACAGAGGTTCAGCAACCACCCTAACCCCAAGTCTGGAAACAAAGCCAGGTTTTCAAAGATTTGTGGAACAACTGCAAGGTGAAGTTGTATGAATGACGATCTCTCTGGAGATGTTGTTCCAGAGGGCAGGTACTGCAACAGAAAAGATTTTAAATGCCAGATTGATTTATCCTCAACAGGAGAAATATTTGTGCCATTGTATATGCTAAAGTATTAATCTCCCCCTACCCTCCCCCACACAAGAAATATCCTTGGCTTTCTGACATGTTGGAAATTAATGTTGTTTAAAACCAACCATGATTTATTTTATACATTAAATTATACATGTTAAAGTGTGAAGTGTATTTTAAAACAGTTGAGGATCTACTGACATGACAATTCAGAACTGACCAGAAATTTCTGGTTAATCCATAGCTGCATCAAACTATACTTGGACCCATTCAGTTTTTATCATCTGATATTATAGTGCAACCCTGATTGCTCATTGGAAGGATCGATAATGAAGCTCAAGCTCAGATATTTTGGCCACCTAATGCGAAGAGAGATCTCTTTGGAGAAGACCCTGATGCTGGGAAAGATTGAAGGCAAAAGG